ACGAACACAAGTCATCTGTTTTAATATGATTAACTAAGCAGGATGCCGTTCGTCTATAAATTGATTTTGGAGCATTTGAGACGCAAATCGTAAATTATATTCCAAAATATGCCACTTTGACTCCATGGGCTTTAGATCGGGAGATCAGCCAGTGGAGGAGCTACGTACCGAATGTAACATATCCAATGTTATCGCCCACCCGGGCATCGCTATTAGCCAGCTCCAGAGGTGGTTCGCGATGCGAGAAGAGCACTTGTGGCGCTGTATGCGATGCACGTCGTCCTTCCCTCAATTCCTGCATAAATACTTTGCCAATGATCACATCGTCCTCGTCCCTGAAAATGGTGCTGAACACTACGGTGACACGATCAGGCTTTGCCTCCACATAACTATCGATAAAGGCTAGATTAACTAAACTATAGTCTTTAGTTATATTACATATACTGCTCACAGCGTCTCATCGTTGCGGTAGTTAATGACTGCTCGCTTTTGGGTCTCTTCGCCCTGTTCCTGGAAGTCAAAATATTTCTCGAATACAGAGGCGAAACAATTGCGTTTTAGCAGTCCAATTCTCTTTGCAATCTGCTCCCAGTCGGAGGGTATATCCTCAAGATTAATAAGTACAGAAACATTGTAACCTAAAAACAAATTAAAGACATTTAATTTCGATTTACATTATTGTACCTAAATAGCTTTTCGTACCTTTTTCTGTCTCAGTTAACAGACTTCCATATTCCCGCTTCAGCAACTCGTCGGCTCCATGTTCCTGCAGCTGTTTGTAGAACTTAAGCGAAATGCTTATCTATTCATTTGTAAAATATGTTTTCGTTATTCAAAAGTAATAGTAAATTACTAAATTAAAATCAATTGTAAGACTCACCCGCACTTTCGTTTTATCACCATTCACATTGGAAATATGATATAAAACACTGTCGAAATCCGCTATTAATATATCTATCGATTCCGGTTTTAGTCTGCAATAAAAATTTAACAGAATTGTAATAATACATTAATAAACAATTCCTTTCATTCAATATCTTATCAAACGCATGCCTAGCTGATAATACTCAAAATATAAATAGTGTATGATTAATGAAAGTTTTTGAATCGGATCTTAATAGTTTGCGTTTGTGTTTGTGTTTATAAGAGAGTATGTCAGACACAGATCGTGAAAATATATCCCGGAATATGCTAATATGGTTCCACAGTATAACAGTATTGTACACGAACACAAGTCATCTGCGTTAATATGAAGGATTAAGCAGGATGCCGTTCGTCTTTGGGTAATTTGGGAGTATTTGAGACACAGATCGAGAGGAAATCCCCGAATATGCCACTTTGACTCCACGGAGTATAACGGATTTAAGGTATTGTACACGAACACAAGTCATCTGTTTTAATATGATTAACTAAG